CAGTGGCTGGAGCAGGGGGGCAAGGCACTTGGCGCCCTTGAGAGGGACTGATGTGAACACGTTTGCTTCTAGGCCTTGGATGTGTGGGCCACCGGAGTCACTCTGTACTGCTTTGTCTACGGAAAGGTGAGTGCTGGGTGAGGGAGACCTACCCTGCCTGTCCACATCGGCTTTTGAAAGAACCCACCTAGCTCGGAGAGGACCAAGGGAGATTTTTCTCGTGTCCCCTTCAGGGAGGGGGTTCACGGGAAGGAGTCCAGGAACAGCCACCCTCCAGAGGGGAAGTGTTGATGGTGACACATCACCAGCCAGAATGCTCTCTGCCCTTCTGTCCCTTGATGCCATTCATTCATTCATTTACGCATTCATTTCATCATTCAGTCATTCAATAAGTTCTCTTTCACCAAAACTGGGTTTGGGGAGTAACCAGAATTGACTTGGCCAAGATCTCTGTCCATTAGTGTGCTGGTGATGGTTGTGGGGTGCTGGGGAGTAGGAGGAAGTCTCCATGGACAGGCTCCCAAGCTCCCCACTCTAAGGGGAAAGGGCCTGCCTTCAGTAGTTGGAAGGCCAAGGAGCCCTGATGGCGTTGTGGTTACACATTGGGCTGCTAGCTACAAGGCCAGCAGTTTGAAACCACCGACTGCTCCATGGGGGAAAGAGTAGGCTTTCTACTCCTGTAAAGAGCTGTAGTCTCAGAAACCCACAGGGGTCGCCTTGAGTCAGAATTGACTTGATGGTGGTGAGTTTGGGGAGTGGTTTTGGAAGGTCGAGGGGGAGGCCAACCTCAGCAACCCCTTCATTCTGTAGTGTTGACTTTTTTCTGGGTTCCAGGTCCTTAAGTTAGACCCCACCCCATCTCGTGTTCTGTACCAAGGGGTGGGGTCCAATGCCCCGCTCCCCAGCAGAGGTTGATGCCCTTGACCTTCATCCCTGTGCCTCTCTGCCTGTAGTGCCCCTTCATCGATGACTACATTCTGGCCCTGCACCGCAAGATCAAGACAGTGGCCGTGGCCTTTCCTGAGGCGTGAGTAGTGCACTGAGGGGACCCCCACCCACCCACCACCCACTGCAAAAGGGTATATCTGACTGTTAGCAGAGGTTTTGCCCTTTGAGGGTTCCCGCCTGGAGGTGGGGGGACTCTTCTGTGGGAGGAGCACCTGAGCAGGTAGAGGGCAGGATTATGAAGGCCAGGGCCCAGACACCATTGTCTGGAGGGGAGCCTGTCTCTGAGGCCAGAGATGGGCTGAGATGATGCCCTGGCCATGCACTGCCTCAGAACCATGGGCCTCCCTGGGCCAGTGGCACCCGTCCCTTGCAGCCCCTGGACTCCACCTTCGCATCTTCTCCAAGAC